TCAAAGAGAAAGGTCTTGAGACCGGCCTTGAAGGAGGAAAGGGAGGAGGCAAGGCGAAGGCACTGGGGGATAGAGTTCCTATAGAGTACGGGCGGGTAGGTAGGGGGATCGTAGGTCAGAGAGGTAGGAGGGAGCGAGGCCGTGAATGGCCTTGTAGGTGAGTATGAGGATCTTGAATTCGATCCTCCGGGGGATAGGGAGCCAGTGGAGGCGAGCGAGGGTGGGAGTGATGTGGTCCCGAAGCCTGGTGCGGGACAGTACACGAGCTGCAAAGTTCTTAATGACCTGCAGCTTGTGGAGGGAGGTGTCGGGAAGGCCGGCGAGGAGAGCGTTCCCATAGTCCAGCCTTGAGGTGATAAAGGCGTGGACCAGAGTTTCAGCAGCGTGAGGGGTGAGGTAGTGCCGTAGTCTGGCGATATTCCAGAGGTGATGGAAGGCGGTGCCAGTTGTGGCGCGGATATGAGGGAGAAAGGACAGCTCAGGGTTGAACAGAACACCGAGGTTCCTGACTGGCTTTGAAAGGTGGAGAGTGCAGTATAGAGACAGGAGAGTAATCAGGTTGAACATGTTTATCCACAAAGGATAAGACTTGTGGAACAAGTTAACAGGTCCCTGAAGCAGACAGTGAATTGGCTTGAGAAAATTAGTTGTCTTCCCATAGGGTGAAGGCATTGAGATGGTGGGTAAGTGGCAATAGGAAACCAAAATGGGCATTCTTACTGGAGCTATTATTAAAGTATACATTTTGTATGTAGGAGGAGGCAAATTGTAAGGAGAGGTTTTATTGTGGTCTGAAGAGGATGTGCGGTACAAAGATGAAGTGAATCTTCAGTTGTTCACTATTCTGCGCAATTAGCTGCTGCGTTTAGCCCACAAAATAGTCAATTCACTTTACAATGTATCCTGTGAAGCACTTTGAGATGTTACAACGATGTGATAAGGCACTACATCAAATCTAAGGATTATTATTATTCACTGTGGTCTTGTAACAATTGTTGACTTTCTTTCCATGTGCTGTGATTTTCGGCAGTGGTAACCTTTACTCAGAGCTTGTTTAATGTCCCAATTTTGTGGCTCTGCCTCCACATTGGATAGATAACATCAACAACGTACGTTTATAAAGGGCCTTTCACATAGGGTATTGTCTCGTAATGCTTCAACATCATCTAGTAACAACACTGAATTCTCTTGTGCCCAGTTTTAGTGTCAACACATTGCTGGAAAGGAAGTGAATAAAGATTGATCCAAAAAAACAGTTGGCTTTCAAAAGTAACTTAAGGGGCCTGGAGAAAAGAAGTCAGTCTGATTGTTTGAATGTTAGAATTATACAATTTGCAGCACAGGATGATATTCAGCCCATTGAGCCTAAACTCATCCACTGGAGCTAACTACTCTAATCTCAATTCCCTGCTCTTTGCTTTACCATTTTATATTCATCTTGTTCACATGTTTATCCAATTTTCTTTTAAATGTTCTTATGGTCTCAGTCTGAAAAGCCACTTGTTGCAACGTGTTGTAAAATATTTTATATTGTAATAACTTTTTCCGTGTGGTGGTGGGGAGTTTGAAAGCTTTTCTAAATTCTTCCTTAATTTTTTTCTTGCTATGTTCAAGGCTTTCTGCCTCTTTGAAATCTTTTCAACAACGTGAAGTCATTGACTGACTAGTGTGTGACTGATCAATACAGAATAAGAAGATCGGAGGTTTAATCTGGTCTTTCATGAGTTCATTGATCTCACTCTGGGTTGCTGTAAGGGCTACATTTGTTTTCTGTGCATGCAATAGGGAAGGGTAAAATCAACCTGGAAAATCGTTATCTAATCATTCCAACTGGAAAGTATGTGGAAGTGAAAGTCAGACAAAGACAGGATCACACTTTACTGGAATCCCCTCCACTACTGACTACCCTATTGACGCTCACTATCCAGACTTGCATTTGATGTATGGCCACTTGGACGAGATTCTAGGTAACAATGACCAGCGCTATTGAATCACTCCCTGTTTGCCACAAGTCAGTGCCTTCAGAAGAGGGGAAGCGAGAAACCTGCTTTCCTGGGATAGTTTCCCTCAGAACAGGATTCTTTAATAAGGAAACGGGGAAGTTCATCATGTCCGACTCCACTCCGAAGTATTTGATTCCCAGAGTGGAGTTCCTACAAGTTGGTATGACATATACAACATACTTCCAGTAACCAAAAAAAGTCTCCATTAGGATTCTTTATTCAGGATCCTGTTAAGTAGCTGTACGTTGCATGCCATTTTGAGTGCGGAGGGAGGAAGTCCTTAGTTTTGAAACGGAAAGGGTGTTTTGAATATATGTGTCATGTAATACATTATCTCTATATGTGTCCTGTAATACACAGGACAACAGCAAGTTGGACCAGGCAATTGTGCAGTATGGACATATGTGGCACCCTTTCCTTGTGGAGATAATTGCCACTGTACATAAGAGCGTAGATGTTTCCAGTAAAACACTTTAGAGGAGTTGAGTGACTTTGAGAAAGCATTAGCATTTTCTTTCTCAAAACCTAGGTGACGGATCAAAGGTCAGAGTGGAGGACACCAGCAAGGTTGTGAAGATTTGGAGGAAAAAAATTAAGTGAAATATAAGACTATAGATTGTCAATAGAAGAGGCGAAGGGAGGGAAGAGATTCCAGTCTTGAAGCCCTAGGAAAGTAGTAAGATGGAGCAATGAGTTCAGATTTCAGTAGTTAGAATGTGCTAAGGATTAAGAGTTTGCAGAATTGTTTGGAGCTTGTGAGAAACGAGAGGACAATTCAGAGGAACAATGACCATAATATGAATAAAATGTAGAACGACCCGAGGTAGGATGACTCTTGAAAACGCTTATTTGCACCCAATCCAGGAGAGTGGGAGGGAATGTTAGAAGACCCTTTAATATGGGAGTAATATTGAAGACTTGGATGGACTTGGGTTTGAAAGAGATCAGTTGTTGAGTGGGTAAACGTGTTTGGCAAGAGAGAGTGAACTTGGCTTGGAAGCTTCTTTTGCAATGGGGATGTGAGAGTTCCATTTCAGCACAAGGGTGGGGCCATTCTCCTTGACTTACAATGATCATGGTATCAAATAGGACATTACGCCAAATCTTACATCATTAAATTTCTGGTAGCTACCAGACGTGCACTTCAATCGTTGTGTGGCTCCTGTTTCTGCAGCAGGAAGAAGCTTTGTTAGCTGATTCCCTGGTTGCAAGGAGCCATCTAGTGGTGATAGATATTAATGGCACACTTGGAATTTCACACCAGTTTAGGAAAGCTGAGTTCACAGAACTGGAAGGAAGAACTTCAGTGGAGTTCTATAACACTCTCCAGTATATTTATGTTTGAAGACATTACGATAAATGCTGTGATGTAAACTACGTATGATCCTTATTTTAATCTTCTTCAATGTCTTTCTCTCTCCCCACTCCCCCCAAAAATGACTTCATTGACTAATGGTGAGGTACCCATCAGTTCTCTCATTACGTTGAGCCAGGGACAGGTCTTCATGCGAGAGGCTTGGGTAGTGAGCATTAGCAGGCTATTTGACCAAATGGGATATTGTTGCCAAGCTGATCCTGTCTTCATCCTATGTTGACATCGAGGGAGTGGGGGAGGGGAGAAGAGATTACAGAAATAATAGCATTTCTTTATGTCCTGTCTTTTTACTAACTAAGAACTTTAATCTTTCACATTTTGTTCATTTTTAGTGGATGCTTATAAAATGTTTTGGATGACATTATAAGGTGATCAACTTGTAATGCTAACTCTATCACATCGTTTAACTTCACAAAAAGCCTTTTTAAAATCCTCAGCACAAGGACAACAGTTTGCCCCTTCAATAAAGTATGCAGTTACCAAAGTTACTGCCAAAGAGAGTTCCAAGTAGTAGATTTGAAATCTGCCCCAAAAATGAAATTGAGAGGAACTAGAAATGTGCTATTCCTCAGTGTTAATAATGTAGGTGGTGGTTGTCTGACATTTACAAGTGTTAACTGTAAAGACTTCAAAGGCTTATCTTGATTTGTAACATCTGGATAAAAGAGTTTGATTATTATTTTAGGACGCGTTTGATGCTGAACAATTGATTTGGCTCAGCAAACAAAGCATCCCACATGCTCTTCCTTCTCCCTGCATCCTAACTGTTGTAATCAAAACTCATCGCGCAGTCTCTACTCAAGATTCTTTCTCAGCCTTGCAAGTCTGTGGAACTCCTACTTCCCCTTCCCCCTCCCACCTTTGCTCTAGCTTACTTTTAAAAGCCACTTAAGGATGACTTGTTAATGTATCTCATTCTTATTCTCTTCAACATTGTTGACTCGGTAGGTAAAGCCTCATGTCCATACACTCTGGGACGCCGTCCAGTGTGGAAGGCGCTATATAAATCCAAGTTGTTGTTGCTGTTGTCCATCCTTAACCTGAGGCATATAAACCTGGGGCCCAATCCCTGATTAGACTTTGTGACCTTTTCTCAACCTTGTGAAATAATTCACCTCAAGGAGTTTGTTTGCCGTCTCCTTTGGGTCCTGGGGGAAAAGTTTGTCTGGAGAGAGGTGTGTAAATAACAGTTTATTTTAGTTCTGACGTATATTGTGAAGTTTTAACCTCAAGGTCAGTGGGAAGGAATAAAGGGTTCATCCCCTGTTGATTTGTTGACATGAGTTATCTTTTTGTTACAAAAATCAGGAATTCTATTTTAAAGACTTAATAAAGAGTTGCTGGTGTTAATTGACACCCCACTGTCAGACCTTTGTTAAACTCCTATATCCCCCTATCCTGGGTCTCGCTGACCTCCATGAATGATTCTCCTTCAAAGATGTTTTCTGTGTATGAAGTGTTTGGCAATATGGTCAGTCATTGTGGATGTCCATGAGTTCAAAAGATGAACTAAGAGCCTGAGTGACGACAGTTGAAGATTATTGGGTAGATTAGCAGGAACCTTAGAGCACAGATTTAGACACTGGCCTTTTCTTCACCTGCCTCTGTGTTTCTTCCCACAGATTTTCTACAAAGCTATCTGCAACATTGACCCAGGGGAGGAGCTCTTAGTGTTGATGAAAAGCGGCGAGTGCTCACAGGAGGGAATGGCTCCAGAGATACATGGTGAGTTTTCGTTGTGAGGTAGAAACGGGAGCCAGGTTTGTGTGTGTTGGTGGGAGGGTGAATGTTGGGGAGGGGACTTCATGCATGGTGAGGTACTTGGCTAGTTGACTATGGCATCAGTTGTAAATGTATAGTCAGGGTATAACTTTTTGAGTCTGTTCAGCATGAGGCCCGGCCAAATCTCCACTGGAACCTGTTGAGTACAACTCTTCATTAACATAATAAAATTGAATGAAGGCGGCTGAGTAATGTGTGGACCTCCTTCCACTGAGGCTCAACTCTCTGAAATTTATTGCCCAATTATGACTATAGGTTTTCACTCAACTTGAATTGCCTTGTACTGGTGTTGCTCCTCATTCAATCCCTTGAGGGACTTTGTGGTCTTGCTGAGAGCTTTAATATGCATGCTTTGGAGTGGAGTTAACGCACAACTAAAGCTGTTCTATCCTCTGCAAGCCCTGCCCCTTTCCTCCTATCCAAAAAGTGTTCATTCCATTCACTACCAGTCGTTCTTGGCAACGGATATGATTTTTTTTCTTGCTGTGTTTCAGCCACATTTCAGCTGACTTTCACCCCTGGCCGGCCCACCAGGAAACCTTGGTCTATTGCAAGCCAGTTAGACTGCAGGTTTGAACCAGCAAACACAGGTTCCTTCAGTTTAACCACAGAAAACCATTGAGGTGGTCTCTCAATGGATGTAGTGTAACTGCAACTGGTGCAGAACAAGCTATTTCCAAATCTAAGCTGAAAGTTTACAAAGTTACAATGGCAGTCCATTGGCCAGCCGGCTTCAACGTTTTGAATGCTAATTAAGATTTGAGAGAACAGAAGCACTCTTCAATATCATTGAAAATATAAGGGTATTTGAATGGAACTCAGCAGGGCTCTGCATCCCACCAGAGGTGTACTTTGCTGGAATGAGAGGTTTTGAAGCCTGTGGCAAGAATCAGTGATGCCAGCTCCCACTATTCCAAATCTGGTGTTAATATCGTGTTAGATCTGCAATCTAAGGAGAAGGATTTGAATGTCACTTTTAAAGAGATAAAGCTATTTTTTTATATGAGATCTGTTGAGCATCATAATCCAATTTATAATACAATTTACACTTGTGTAGTGCCTTTAATAGTAATAATCCTTGCATTTGATATAGCGCCTTATCACGTTGTCTAAAAGCACTTCACAGGATATACCATAAAGTTGATTGACTCTGTATTTTGTGGGCAGTCAGCTTTGCGCACAGTAATGACCCACAAATACCCATGCAGTGAGTGACCAATTTTATTTGGGAGATTGTTGGCCAGAACATTCTTTTTCGAATAGTGAAGATGGGACCTCGGTTAATGTCTCATCTGAAGGACGGCACCTCCGACAATGAAACACACTCCCAGCATTGCATTGGAGTGTCAGCTTAGACTATTGACTCCCAAGTTCTGACGTGGGACTTAAACCCACAACCTGCTGTCTCAGATGCAAGAGTGTTACCACTGCGCCAGGCTGACACACAGTCAGAGGATATCGCAAAGCGCTTGACAGTTCGACATTTGTCACAAAAAACACAGAAACACTCTTATTCACAGTTTTGAGGGGTGCACCTTTAATAACTCCCTGCTGACTCAAATGCAAAATTTAGATTGTCCACAAGCTCACCAGCCCTCAACCTGGCTCCAAGGGAACATCTTGTCCCCTTGTCGTGCACAACCGTAGTTATGTAGAAACGTTGAGATGCTCGTGGCTCCTTTCCCTCTTTGTTCTCCCACTGGCCAGGACTGTACGTCCCTTTTGATGTTCCCTGAGGTTGGATTAAAATATTACTGTTGTGCCTGAAGTTGCATTTTAAATAGCCTGTGCAGCCACGATGAAAAACTAAGATTAATTGCTGAGCTTTGGCAGTTTGCATGTATTTTTGACACAATGCATTCAGTCGGTTTATTCTCTTCTGTAAGAAACTTCCCTGCAGATATGAAAGGCCTTGAGCCATTGATCCTGGAAGAACTGCTTGTTTTCTGAGTAGCACTGTGTAATAAATGGACTTCCTTCTCATTGTTACCACATGAAGTCATTGCTGCTTATTAGATGGGCTGTTCTTGAAGTTTGGCAAATCAATTTCACATTGTTGTAACAAATGTCTTTGAAACCGCACTTTTAAACGCAATTTTAGCAGTAAAAAGGAATAAATGTAATAATTTGTCTCCTAATGACAAAATAACATTTTATGCCCGTGCACAGGAGGATGAACCCCGCTCCCCTCTGCATTCCCCCCAAATGTGTTTATAATAATGTTCTGGTAAAGAAAATTTCAATGGTTTATTGCATCAAGTTGAGGACTGGGTGGCATAGTTCACTGGAACATTAGTCTTAATAATTGGCGTTCTCCTCTGGAGACCTTCAATCTGAACCAGAGAAAGCAGATCAGATGCATGTCTCCTCTGAGTGATAGCTTGTAAAGATCATGCAAGAATTGAATTCTGGCTTCAGGAGTAGGTTTTCAACAAAGAGCGTCCACACCCGGTGTGTAAATCCATGGCTTCGGGTTGGGAATACTCTGGGCAAGGCTGAAGGAGCTGCCCACTCTGCTTGGGTTTCGAGGGTTTGAGGGGTGGACACGGCAGATGTTGGAGGAACGGTTCTGTCTGTTTCATTTTGCTCACCATAAAGCTGTGGCCCTGGGCAGAGAGGACTGCAGCAGTGCCTGCTGATCAAATATGTTCTAAAATTAAGTATAGTGAGGAGAGTGTTTGAGAATAGAGTGGAAACTCACTGGGAAGTTCAGTATTGTTACTCGCCCTGTGTGATCCCATCATGTCGTTACTCGCCCTCTGTGATCCCGTCATGCCGTTACTCGCCCTCTGTGATCTCGTCATGCCGTTACTCGCCCTCTGTGATCTCGTCATGCTGTTACTCGTCCTCTGTGATCTCGTCATGCTGTTACTCGTCCTCTGTGATCCCGTCATACCGTTACTCGCCCTCTGTGATCCCGTCATATCGTTACTCGCCCTCTGTGATCCCGTCATATCGTTACTCGCCCTCTGTGATCCCGTCATACTGTTACTCGCTTTCTGGGGTCGGGTCAAATTGATATTATTACTTGCTCTGAAATTGAATTGTTACTGTTTGGGATTGAGTCATATTGATGTTTTCTAGGGTCAGATCAAGTTGTTACTTGTTCTCTGAGGTTATATTCTTACTCGTTCTATGGTGTCATATTGTTACTTGCTCTCGAGAGTCAGGCCATATTGTTACTTGCTCTGGGGTCATTATTAGCTCTCTGGGGTCGAGCCGTAGTGTTATTCGCTCTCAGAGATTGGTTCATATTGTTGCTCGCTCTCTAGGATCAGGTCATATTGTTGCTCTCTGTCTGGGCTCAGATCATGTTGTTACTTTCTGGCATTGGATTATATTGTTGCTGGAGATGCATTGAGGTATTTGTTACCCAGGCTGAATGGAAGCCTTCTGTGCAGTAAAATTCTCTGCTCTATGTCCAGCCTACAATGTTTTTTTTTACTGCTTATATTTTGGGCTGTTAGAGCAATTATTTATCAAGAGACATTGATACTCTGCCAACAAACCCACGCGATTATACGTCAAGGATCCCACTACATAATCCACCAACAAATCCACCCCAAATGTCAGCAAACTCACAATAAAAATAAGGCAGATTTGAACTTTGGCTCATTCCAAGTAGAACTGTTTTTTCGAATGATATTAATAACACTTTTAGAATAAACAGTCCAAGCCCGTCATAAATCTCCTCCTTGTTTCTTGTCAATGCAATTGGAAAATAGCTGTGAAATGTCAGACAATACACTTTGCATAGTAGTTTGGCCTCTGATTTGGAGCTCTTGAGGTTTGGGAACAGTAGGTGCCTGTGAACTGTGTAACTTTGATATCCATTATCACCCATAAGCCCTGCATAATTGATTGGTGATAAAGTGCTCTATAAAACCTCAGTCACATGGTGTGATGAATAGAAAGGAATGGTTAGTTTCTGTCAGATTGATGGACTTTAGCATACAAAACCTTGATAACAATTAGTCATGATTTTAAATCTGAAAGTTCAGGCAGGGGAATGGCCACTGAATTCTGCTAAGAGGTGTTTCACTGTTACAGAGGACAGTCAGTATCGCTGTGATGATTGCAATAAAATCTTCGAATCCAAGGCTCAGCTGCTGGACCATCAGAAATTTACCTGCAGCAATTCACACTCCGCCTTCTCTTTGGTGGACGAGAGCTTCAAACAGAAGCTGAGCGGCAGCGACGATGAACTTCACGAGTGTAAGGAGTGTAATGGAGTGTACTCAGATACTCAAAGGTTAGTCTGTTGCTCCAAGTTAATCTAGGGAGGGAGTCCTGGGTTTTCTGGCCATCTGATTGTACTACTTATGCAGCACAGTACAGCTACTAGGATAAAACAGGAAGGTAGTTTCATTGATTGACTCTCATTCATAGCAGTGAGTTATAGATAGAATCTACACTGTCACTAGGCAGCATTTCTATACCATTTTTAACAAATGTGTATAACTCTGTTTTGCTTTACTCACTGTAAAGTTGCTTAATCTCCCCTACTTCCCCCATTGCCCCCCCTGCCCACCCACTTATAGCTATCAAAGCTTTCTGTGTAAATAATTGCAAGTGTCCTGTAAGGAGCACAGATTAAGTAAATTCAGGTCCACAGTAGGAATCTCTAAGTTGGATATACCTCTATCTTTGCCTTGCTTGGCCTGAAACTGCACTGTAGCATAGAGATGATCCCATCACAGGTTAAGATTTAAGTTGAGCATTATATAACAACAACTTGCATTTATATAGCGCCCCTCACACAGGGTAGGGTCCCAGAGCGCTTTATACTGGGGACTGCAAAACGAGAACAATTACAAAAGGGAAAAATTATATAGTGAGAGACTAAATCTTGAACTGTCCCAAAAGAAGCTAAATTGAAAAATTTAAAATTAAAATTAAAAATGAAAGATTAAAGGGGGATTTAGTTGGGCAGGGAGTGACTTGCTGTGTGTTACTATCCTTATAGTTTGAATAGGCACATGCTGACACACACTGAGGAGCGAGAGTACAAGTGCGACCAGTGCCCCAAAGCTTTCAACTGGAAGTCCAACCTCATCCGCCATCAGATGTCACACGACAGTGGCAAGCATTACGAATGTGAAAACTGTGCCAAGGTATGGTGAAGGGTTTCAAAGCCAGAACTTCACTCTCATTGCAAGGTTATGGTTATAATTGGGAGGGTGGTGGGGGGTTGGGGAATAAATTAAAACTTCAAAACGGGCAAACAGTAGGTAGCCTAAACTTTCACCTCTAGTACATGGGTTCTATGCCAACCCACGCTGACCAGGTTCGAGTCAGCTCAGTCTGTTGGATGCAGCGGCATAATGTGAGCAGGGCCACTCCTGGGGTCACAAGGTGGATGGGGTAGGAAGTAACCAGTGCCATGTAGGGGATGCTCTTCTGACATCAGACCTGGGGTACATGTTAGCAGAGAGTATGAGGAGTTTTACTCTCTGTGGCACTGTGATTTACCTTTCCTGGAGCACTTGGCGGAATGGTGTTTTCTTCTTTAAAACTGACCGCCAGAAGGAAGCGGGTGACGGAAGGACCTTGTAGTCCTACTTTTGCCATGATTTGTTGAGTTACTTATTTGCCCTAAATCTGACGTTTCTACATGAATCTATTTTCTAATCAACTTTTTTGAAGCCCACTCCAATAATAATAATACTAATCCTTGCATTTGGTATATTAATCACATAACATTAAGACATAATCCCCTCAGGGACCCTGTCCTCTCCTAAAGGAATGTTTTTTTTGTGCTGGATATAGTTGTAGGAACCCTCTAAGCACTTTCTCCCCTCCCCCCCCAGTGTGTGAGGCAGGTCAGTGATGGGTTTGCTGTGCGACCAAGCCAAGCCTGCCTCACCTGACCCTAGACTATGTATCAGAGAGAAGGATTCCTGCTTTCATCTCCAAGAATACAAAAGTAGTCTATTCAGCCCCAAAGCTCGCTAGCCCTTGATGTGCCCAAGATCTGTTTTCAACCTTCCCTGGTTAAATCTGAAGTAACATTCCAGGTTTATTCCCATCTGTCCCATAAAATGCCTCGGTGACTAGCTTCGCTTCACCTCCCTGCATCATATTGCTTTGCTGTCTCCCAGCAGGTTTTTACGGACCCCAGCAATCTACAGAGACACATTCGCTCACAGCACGTGGGGGCCCGTGCACACGCCTGCCCTGAGTGCGGGAAGACCTTCGCCACCTCCTCGGGCCTCAAACAACACAAGCACATCCACAGCAGTGTCAAGCCCTTCATATGTGAGTGCTTCATGTTCATTTCTCCTCGCTCACAGACATGGTGCCCGTGATTACACCAGTGCTGCCCACCCACACACAGCTATTCAGTCAGTTCTTTTCATTGTTGGAGCAAGCACTTGATCAATATTGGTTCCCCAGTTCATTATATAGCCCTGCCCAGTCCCACAATACAAGTGAGGAACCCATTAGGTCTAAAGATGGCTTGAAATAATAATACTAATATTACAAGTCCTTGCATTTGATATTGCAGCTTATCACATCATTGAGACTTCTGAAAGCGCTTCACAGGATATATTATAAAGTGAATTGAATTATAGTGGGCAAAATGCACCACCCCAGTAGGAACAGTACCTGAGACAGTGAGGTAAATGGTCTTTGGCTGCCTTGTTTGTTCTGGTGGTGTGACAGTCAGCCTGCCCCCACACAGGCCTTTATAAGCCTCTTTGGACATTCCCAGGGATGGGTTGAAACATATAGCTGCAAAGACCAGGAAAGCGGAGAGGCAATGATTAGGTGATGGCAAACTACTTTTAAAAGCTTGTAGATTACAAGGGGAAGGAAAGGCAATGAGCTGCTTTGGAGTATATGAAAATTTTGTTTTAGGTTTACTTTCTAAATCCTATTGAGCACCTTGTGTATCCGACTGAGGTACTTTCTGGGAAGTAACTTTACAAAACGAAGGAATCTTATCTAGTTCAAAGGAATAACTTGTATCTCAACAGAGAGAGATCAGAATGGATAGAACATAGAGCTAAGGTTTGGCAACTAGGAAGGAGAGGATTACCTTTCCTGAGACAAGCTATTTCTTGTCTCCTGTCCGTGAGTTAGTGAGGTGCTGTGAGACCCTCCCTAGATTTGGGAGCTGGATTCAGTTCTTATTTGTTTCCTGGTAGCTCATAATCTTACAAATTGCCCTGTAATCCAGCTCCACTGAATGCATTTATATTGTTCAAACATATTGTGTTACTATCCTCAATCCCAACCGTGGTCATTTATTTAAAAGGCCCACACACAGCGTGAGTTCCTTCTGGGCCTGTTTTCAGCAACAGTCTCTTATTACCATGTCCCAAGATTAGCTTATATGGAAAAAGAAATCTTCAATTACAATTTTCTTCTCTCCCCCCCCCACCTGCCACCCCCCCCCCACCCAATCCACACCCAACACAAACTTTTTAAAAAAAAAGTAATTATTAGCCTGTTTGAAAGCTACTCAATAGAAACCACATGGAGACGTGCACCAAGTATATTCAAAATAGCACTTAATTTGTTATAATAAGCAACAAATATGCAGCCTTGAGTACTGACTAATTTCCTTGTTCCAAGAAAATTGCTTGACACAGCATACTGACATCAGACAGCGCTGATGTTACAAAGTAGTTTGCGGTTTGCAGTGTGTTTATGGTATTCAGGAGTGATGAAAAGCTTGTGGGGTGATAACATCTGGAGCATTTAACAAGGGGGGGAGAGGGACGAGAGGATGAAAGAGAGAGAGGTATAAGAGAGAAGCAGCAGAGTATGGTTGAAAAACTAAACAGATATATGAATGTTGCTGGCTCTTTTGCTATCCCAAGTCTGGCTCTTGGCTACATTAGATCAAGCATTGGCTACTCACTGGGGAATACAGTGGATGTTTGTATCTCTGAGTAGTGTCTGATCTGAATTCCTAAAAGGCAATTCAGGGGGGAAAACAAACTTCAATGAAAGATTTGTAGTTTTCAAATAGTGGCTGCTAACCAATCTATTATTATAGTCCAGTGATCAAATGTTCTGGCTCCTAAGATCCATACCTTCCATTTTAAAGCCACAATTATCTTGCTCTGTCTCACAAACAGACATGAGGTGAATGACCAATTAATCTTGAGGATAGTTGCCCAGTGCCTCAAGAAAAAGCTCCTTTCTTTTGAATCGTGCCATCCACTTGAGCAGGCAGTGGGGACTTCGATTTAATGTCTCAACCAAAGGACAGAACCCCTAACAATACAGCACTCTCCTAGTACTGCACTGGAGTGTTAGCTGGACTATGAGCTCTTTCTCTCCCCCAAAGTAGGGCCTGAACCCATGACCTTCTAACCCAGAGGTGAGAGTGTTACTGACTGAGCCAAACTGATGTCTGTCTCGCACAGTGCCATGAGTTAAATAGATGATGTGAGAATCTTGGCGGCTGTTCAGCTTATGATCTCATTGGTAACCTTGTCAATGGAATAGTCCATTGTGAACAAGGTGAGCAACAAAAATGAGGGAAACTATGCAAAGTGCGTGTGTAGATTTCAAACCTTTGAACATTCCTATTTTAATAAACTATCCATTGCTGTTCAAAATTTAAAATATTGCCCATTGTTAATTAGGATAATGGTTTGCTTTGAATTTTTTTTCTCATACAAGTTTAAACAATATTGCTGAAAATGCTCTGCTCATAAGAATGAAGCACTTTCCCATTTCAGGCACAGTTGGATTCTGAGTTGTGATCCCTCCCATTCTGTCCTATGGTGTGAAACCATCCCAATCCTTGATTCACCAATGTGACATTTCCATTTCCCACACCAGCTTCTCTGATCCCATTGCAATGGCAACTATTGCCCAACGATTGGCAGCTTCAACTGTGAATTTCTGGCCATTAAGTGTTTTTTTTAAAAAAAACTACTACTTTTTTTTAAAAAAAACCTACTCTGGTCATCGCTTTTCCCCACCATGGCTACTCTCTCTGTAAAACACTTGAGACATTTACATGAAAGGCGCTATATAAGTTGTTGGGTTGAAGCTTCCCAAATTAGTGAAAGGATGGGATGGACCCAATTGAAGTCTTATGGTTTTTAATACAAAATTTTGCTGAAAGATGTGAAAGACTCAGCTTTACACAGTTGATGCTTAGATTACTTTAAGACTTATGGAATAAGTTACCAGCGAAGGATGTGAAAGTGAACAGTAGAGTTCAAGAACAATAAGATGTTTTTGGAGAGAAGGGTCTGCAGGGTGTAGTGAGAAGTGAAAGCCCACCAGCAGAATTCAACCACAGGTGGAGTCAAGCAGGACACTCCAGTGGTAAAGTTATTGTGATCCCAACAACTTAGGTGTGTTGCAAGTTCAAAGGCAGTAGCGACATGTTTATTGTAATCTATCTGTTTTTCGAGAGCAGAAGAAGAGTTTGAATCGTATACAGACGAGAAAACTGAATGTAAAAGAGGAGCACTGAAATGTAAAAAAAGTGTGTGGGAATTTGTTGCAGGAACGTTAAATGAAGCAGGATTTTCATCACACAGTGAGGAAGCTTTATACCATTGTCCTCACTGTGTAGCTTCTATGTCTCCCATTGTTCCTCACTGTGTGTCTCCTATAATTTTTTGTTACTAAGAAACTTTGACCAGATACCTACCACTTCTCAACTGGGAAAGTTATGTCCATCTGTGGTATGAAGATTATAGCACACAGCTGCCAGCTGGATATTCGGTTTATCTTCCACAGTCTTGACTCATCGACCCCTAGCATTAGCTTTAATGCAGTTCTTGAAGTCTTTATGAAGTCTCTTCAACATGCATTCGAAATCTGTGCCAGCAAAAATAGCTCTTAACCACCAATTTAATGTCGTTACCAATGTGCACCATATCAGGATTGCAGACATGCCTGTGGCTTTGGAGATCTTCAACAATGATGAGCAGTATAACCTCATTGAGGAAGCCACAAGAAACTCCATTATCCCAAAAGAAAATGTTTGCAAGTAGAATAGAACCACCGTATAAAGAGATACTGCACGGCAGGGTTTATTTTCAAGTGGGCTTAAGTTCTTGTAAGAGTTGGGAGGATAAAGTACTGTACAAGGAAAATCTGCCATCAGGATAATGTCAAATTGATCAAAAACTGTGACGCACATTTCTCCTGCTCAATAAAGTTGACGATCGTAAAGGACTGTGGATTACAATGAACTTACCTACCAGTTCAAAGTCACCACATCTCTATTTTTATGGGGGGTGGGGTTATTTTTTCCTCACTATTTTTGCTAAGTCTTAATGCAGTATGATTCCATCAACACCAGTCACCAGTGCCAATTAGGGCCAATTAAGTCACCAGTGGATCTCGAGTTCAATTCCCAGTTTCTGTTGAGTTAACGAATTGGCCTTGTTGCCCCTGGGTTAGGGAGGGGGATAAAACACTTGGATTTTTTTTGCTTGTAGTTATTCATTCATTCCTGCTGCAGGGTGTGTGAATGGAAGCATCGAGCTTGACTGTGATCCACAGTAATACTGCCAGGCAGTTTGCGAGCCCTCACTGCCTGGGCTCGCACATGGAGAATGGTTATACTGGTTGAGGTGCTGGAGGAGGAGGCCTGAACATCCTACCCCAGAGAAAGGAAGGAAGGAAATTGGCCCCCCTCCTCAAAATTAAAATAAATGTAAAAATTGGGACAAGACATGAAATGTGGGACAACTGTGAGTTTGATGTATCAATCTGAACCATACCAGATACCACTTATCTGAGTGATCAAAATCTATCTTAATTTCTAATATTATAAAGTCAACTTATGATGTATACAATTTATATAGTGGAGTCCTGTAGCTCAGTGGTTAGAGCACTCGCTTTGCAAGTGAGAGACCTGAGTTCATTTCCAGGCAGGTCAGGGCGAAACCTTGGGCAAGTTTCCTTACTCCACACGCCTAATAATAATCCCTCCAAAACCAAAAACAATAATTAAATTGGTTATTTTCAATCTACGACTGTTTGTGGGACATTGCTGTGCACAATTGGCTGCCGCGTTCGCCCACAAATATACAGTCAATTCACTTTACAGTGTGTTCTGTGAAGCGCTTTGGGACGTCCTCCCGACGTGAAAAGCGCTATATCAAATGCAAGGATTATTATTATTATATTATTATTATTATTATTATATAATGCCTTTCACATCAGGAGAATGTCTCAAAGTTCAGACAGCTGGCTGTGCACCTGAGTTTGGGGGTTGAGAGGTTAGGCAGACAAAGAGATACATCTTGATAGTGCACTGAATGTATAACCTCATCAACTATGTATACCAGGGTTTTGCTTCCAGATACTGTCCTCCTGCAGTGAGTCGCATAGTCATAGGAAAAACCCGAATGTAAAATGCTGGGCTGTACTTGTGAGCGAAGGCGTCAGTGAAACTGAGGCACATTGTATAAGAATCTAGTCTGTTAAGGTCACTGGCTGTTCAGATTATTTTTATGAAAACTGATTAACCCTGGCTGCTGTAGCCCATCGATGACACCTCCGAGATTCTTCAGCCAGTCGTTGAGCATGCAGAAATGTTCAAAAGCAGGAAGGTTAACCATCAGCAACAGTATAAGAGGAAATAGGGGACGTGATTGCAAGTCTCTGGGAACTGAGAGTGCAGGATGGGTTACATTCAATTCAGTTTCCTTCATTCCTGCTTAAAATAGCACCTGCCTTAGTTGCATTGTAATATTTTGCCAGCCTTTTTCAAATGGTATGAAACAGTTGTTGACAAGAGAGTCAGCACTCTCAATGACCCATTGTTTCACTGCTTTGATGTGTGAGGGATGAGTACAAGCACAGCAAGAAATCATTGTGAACAAGTGCTGTTCCCAAGATACAAACTTAGGCTCTGGCTCCAGAATGTTTTCTTTGTTTTTTTTAAAAAAATGGAATGCTAACATCCGATTCAATTTAAAAAGGTGCATTTTAATGCCTTGGAATCCAAATCTATTTCAAGTATTCTAATGAATAGCTTCAAGTGACCAGATATGAATTACCATATTCAAAAAAACTCTTAATATAATGGTCCTTGCATTTGGTATATATAGTACCTATAAGGTCAAACATCTGTTAACGCTTCACAGGTTATGGCTATGTAGTGTATTTGTAGGCAAGCACGACAACCAATTGGCATACCGTAATGTCCCACCAACAGCCGTGAAGTGAATGTCCAATTATCTGGAGGATTGTTGGCTGGGACACCGGGAGAAACTCTCCTCTATTTCCAAATAAAGAGATGGGGTCTTCAATGTCCACTGGAACAGACGGGCAGGATCTTAGTTTAACATTTCATACAAAGGACTTCACCTTTAACAGTGTCGCGATTCCAAGCACTAAATTCATCTGAGACTGTTCATTTGTGGGTCTTGTTAGTTGAATCGACAGCCCAAAGTATTTTCTTTCCCAGTTTAATCCCTTTTACCTTCTCACCCATTTGTAGTTCTTTTGAAGACTTGGACTCGTGCTAGAGTTCATTTTTGCCCATGAGCAGGAGACCCTAGTCTTCAAGAGGCGGATCAGTAGTTTTGCCCAAGTTACACTGTTGTCCTCTGCTGGGAGTGTGGTGCACAACTGTTACTCACTTCCCACCCTTCCACTTTCTTTGTAACACTTAATTCCCCAGATCTATTCATGGAACAACAGGGGCATCAGTTATATAAGCCATTAATGATTGTCACTGCTGTCGTGGTAAGGTTATTTGGTAATGTCACGTTGCTCCCCAGTTAACACATTCTGATTTCTCGCCTCCCCTGCCCCTCCCCCCACCACAGGTGAGGTTTGCCACAAATCCTACACGCAGTTCTCCAACCTCTGCCGCCACAAACGGATGCACGCCGACTGCAGGACACAGATCAAATGCAAGGACTGCGGCCAAATGTTCAGCACCACCTCATCGCTGAACAAACACAGGAGGTTCTGTGAGGGCAAGAACCATTTCGCCACGGGGGGACTCTTTGGTCAAGGCATTACACTTGCTAATGCTCCGGTTCTGGACAAGTCCAATGTGGTTAACATGAACCACAGCAATTCCGGTCTTGCTGACTATTTTGGCACCAATAGGCACCCAGCTGGACTTACATTCCCTGCAGCCCCTGGGTTCCCATTTAGCTTTCCTGGCCTCTTCCCTTCAGGGCTGTACCACCGGCCGCCATTGATGCCTGCCAGTTCACCATTGAAAGGACTACTGAGCACTGAACTGGCCACCAAGCACCATAGTCACCTCTTGGCAGCCTCCCAGCTGCTCCCTGGCACACCAGATGTTTTGAAAGCACTGAACCGGCAGTCGTCCTCGGATGAAGTCCGGCCCCTGGAGATTCCGACTGAGAAGATGCCTGAGGAGAAGCCACGAGGAAAGGGCAGCGACCAGTCGGAGAGCAGCGACTTGGATGATGTCAGCACGCCCAGTGGCAGCGACCTCGAGACAACCTCCGGCTCCGACCTGGAGAGCGACGTGGAAAGTGACAAAGAGAAAAACAAAGAAAACGGCAAAAGTGCAGAGGATGTGCTCGTCAGCCCTCAGAAGATCTCCTCTTTGAACAATAGCAAGAAAGAGTTCTCTAACCATTCCCTCTTCTCACCGCCGCTGGATGAGCAGATTGCTGTCACAGGAGCCGTCAACGATTCCATTAAGGCCATTGCGTCTATCGCTGAAAAGTACTTTGGTTCTACTGGACTTGTTGGCATGCAAGACAAAAAAGTAGGACCGCTGCCCTACCCTTCTATGTTTCCCTTTCAGTTTTTTCCTGCCTTTTCCCAGCCGATATATCCCTTCCCTGACAGAGACATGAGTGTCACGCCCTTGAAGATCGAGCCACCATCACCCAGTGAACTGAAGAAGCTGCGGAGTGTAAATGCCGAGTCGCCCTACGACCTCACCACCAAACGCAAGGAGGAGAAGGCCATGGTACCTGTGGCCTCCAAGCCACCCGCTCCCCATTTTCCCGGTGAAGAGCAGCCGCTGGATTTGAGCATGAGCAGCAGAAGCCGAGCCAGCGTCAGCACCCAGGTGGAGCCGCGGAAAAACCATATCTTCGGGGAGAGAAGGGGACCCAACATCGAGCAGCCCAAGAGCTCTGAGCATTCTCTCCAGCACGCCAAGCCAACCCCGTTCTTCATGGATCCCATATACAGGTAAGACGACTTGATGCATTTTGCTGTGACACTTTCTCGGGACTTAGCTAAGGCTCCCAAATCTAGTCATCGCTGCGTTGTGGAAATATTGAAATTCTTAAGATTAATTCTTTTGGTTACCAATATTTTTTTCCACCCCATCTAATTCTTATTCTTCCTTCTCCTGAAGGTTAGAGCTCAGCACCTAAGGTCCTAGTTACCTTCAGGATCTGGCCTAAGTTGTCATTCTTCAAGTCTAACACCGGCATTGAGGCTTTTTGGCCGTGCTCAATCCTGTTCTTACCCAATGTTTGCACGCACGCACTTTCCAAACAGGGTATCGCTGAGTACTGAAACCTAGCCCAGGGGCACTCAGTCCAATGATAACCCACTGCCCAATCCCTTTCTCCCCCGCACTGTTACCCTGGCTGAGATCACCCCACTCCTGGCCAAGAGCCACATTAGGAAATTACGAGTGTGAAATAGCTTCCTGCAGTGCAAAGTCTCTGCCTCCCTTTCATGGAACATTTGGACCGTCCGTTACTAACCTATGCCCGGAGCAACACACACAGTCTTTTTTTTATTATTATATTATAGATTGTATTTTTTTTCCACTAAATGAGATTCATTTTATTAATGATTCTGTCAAAGTAGAGTGGAGAAGAGGAAGCTGTCCGATCCCGTGGAAGCATTAAAACAGAAGTATATGAAACCTGCTCCAGGCTTCCTATTCCACCCACAGGTAAAGAGTTTTCTTCCTTTCTGCCCAATTTGCACAATGTTACTGCAGTCTCTTCTGCACCTCATGCATGTGTGGCCCCTCAGTGACGCAGTGGGGGTAAATAATGTGCTGTTCACTGATGCTAGCAAGCTTTTTGATTCATGCTTGTAGTGGGAAATCCCATTATTTATAACCATCAGCAGTAAAAATCAAAGTCATACTCATTTTACTTTTAGTACATAAAACATAAAATACTCCCTCTTGACTGTCCTTCCACTTTAAGCACTGTTACTACACAGATGAAATGCAACTCCTGCAGTGTTTGGCATATCCCCTGGCCCTCCAATGTTCAGTATGAGTTCTTGATGGTGGCTCTTCAGTTAATTGGGGAACACAAGTCAAGGGCCAAGAACCTTGGTACTGAACAGAACTAAACTTGAAATGAGTAAGAAAGAAAACAAAAAATCACAAAGTGGTGCTGAGGTGATACATCTGGGCATTTTACGAGAGAGTGAAGACTGGGAGTGGGAAGGAGCTCTGCGGTCTTGAGACTCGGGGAAAAGTAGGATGTAGCACATAGTTTTAGTATTCACAGTCAGTTCTAACTGAGGAAAGAAAACTTGGAGATGGCTTTAGCAATGAAGATGTGCGAGTTCCATAATTCTAACCAATGTTCGAGATCACAAGGTCAGGTAATTTGTTCAGATAAAGAACCAGCCCATTTGATCTCATCCTTCCAGAATACTCACCCTCCAGTCAGTCCTCCCATTGCAGCATCAAGCTGCACTTTAAATTAGTTCAGTGTCCTGGCCTCAACCTTCCTTTCCTTCCTTTCTGGTAGATGAAGGATTAATTAAGAGTGGAACCATTCAGGGTAAGAGTTGCTGCTATATTTAATTGTGAGATTCATTGAAACATAGAAAGAAATGAGATTCACTGAATATTTCCTTATTTTTATACTATAAAAATATGAACAGTAACCACTGGACTAGTTGGCCAGTGGAAGAATTTTTCCGCAATGAAAAAATCTTTAAACTGTTGTGCCAAAATAATCTTTCCTTCAGAATATTTCCCACATTCCTAATGAGTAGCTGAATTCCATTTGAGAGGAATTATGGTGCTTGTTGGTGAATGAGAACATTTCCTATTTCATGTACTCGGTCTCAGCATTGAGCACTCCTGGGTCAAGTATGCCACAGTGAAGTCCAGAGGGAAGCTTCTGCTGTCATACCCAACCTCAGAAGGCTACCTCATGTGACGTTTTACATATTAAACGTCCCCAGTGGTCTCTCCAAGTCAGTTTGCTGATTCAGGAACATTTCTGAGTACCTATGGTCAGAACGCCCCAACTTTCACTTAGGCTTTGCAGCCAACAGAAAGAAGGAGTGGAAATTTGCAACCCAGGAATCTGCGCTAGATTCTCGAAATGACTGCATCACCTGTCCTCCACTCCAGCAATTCTGAAATCAGCAACTCTTCGCAACACAAGGACATTTGCTCTGGTGTAAATTGGATTACGTCCTGCCTGAAATTTCTGCATAGGAGTGAAATCCTATACATTCAATATGATATAAAAAAAATTAGGAGTGGGAGAGGGTCAGGTTATGGGGAGGTGAAGGAAAGGGAACGCTCTTTGACCTGACATGTTCACTGCAGGCCCGTCCAGTAGCATGGCAACCAGCCATGAAGTGGTTAATGGCATTCCAGTTGCCGCTGTGTGAAACATACAGTGACAGTTTCTGAGTGAATTTCTTTGCTGCTGTTTTCGTATGAACAAATTGATTGCCTACTGGCCAAAATTGCGAGAGGCTGAGGAGGAATTTTAAATTGGGTGGATTTCATGTTAATTCCCCTTTGCAGCAATAAATAAGTGGTTGTGTAATGAATTATTTTCTGAAGACTATGGCTTGCACAGGGTTTATTGGAAAAATGAGCAGAGGCTTTCTGTCTTCTTTTGAATTGAAAATGATCTAGAATTACAGTTACCTTGATAACTAAAATTATGTTGTGTGACAGCTTTTCATTTCAGTGGAGTACAAGCTGATGTTTATGTGTAAAGGGTCTATAGCAAAATATTGGGATACTTAACACTAATGTAATAATTATAAATCAAATGGATCACTGAGATGATTAGAATGTGAATGTAGGAGTTATGGATTATATTATTTTTATAAGTGAATTTATGTAAGGTTTAAGCTGCCATAAGCCAAATAGACAAATGCTATGTCACAGCTTGATCTGAGCTAGTATTTTCCACATTAGTTAAATGCCCAGAAAGCAACTGTTACTGCCCTGTATATTCCCACTATTTTATTTATATATTTTTTTAAGGTTTTAAATGCTTAATCCTCGGGCAGTTTGCGTAAGTTACACACGTCGAAGCTTATCGCTATTTTCTCTCATCTGCACAGTTGTGTGCAAACGAGTCCTTTGACACAATTATTGGCTTGTTAAAATAAATTCTAAAATTTCACTGAATTTCTCTGGCCTAAATTACAAGGGGCTTTTTTTCCTTTTAACCCATGGACTCCTTCCAGGTCCAGTCAAATAACAATCTTTCCCAGGTGGGATGTTTTTCCAATATTTCAGTTCACCCACTGTAAGACCCTAAAATAAATAGGAATAACACGTCACGATTACTTTTTGTTACAGAAATCTTTTAATAGTTAAAAATTTTATAAATGTTAAACGTGGCTCATAGTCTCACCCCCTATCCAACCCATTCTCTCTCCGTTCCACTTTTGTATTTTTTTAAACTTCAATTCTAGTTCCTTTATCAAATTGATCCTGTTTTTTTCTCCAAAAATGTTGTTATGTAAGATTCTATTTTATACCTTCTTCCACCACCCTCCAGGTTACTCTACCTTCCACTCCCTGTTCGATTTAAGGGTCTTGAATGCTTACTCCTCACATAACGTATGTGTGTGTCTTACATAATCCCAAAGCTCATCTCATTCCTTGTATGTGCAAGTGTTCTCTGCCATTCAGAAGTCCAGACAATTGACAGTATCCCATCATAGATGCAGTTAGGTCAATCTTTGGGGCATGTTTTCTCTCAAAGCAAAGATCCAGTAGGCATCGGCTTGAGTAAACTTGTCTGCTGTGTTTGAAAGAGCTAATTGTCACAAGCCATAGATCCTTATTAAAATGACAAACTTCAAGCCCTTTCAATGCTGAATGAGGCTTTCTTGTAGAACCCACTGACCAGTATGGAGCTCAACCGTGCAGATCTGAAGTTCCTCAATTCAATCCCAAGTCAGTGCTGAGTTAGCTGATCTCATCTGGGGCAGCTGTCTGAAGCCATATTTCGGAGCGTGCTGCAGCAACGGGTCAGACTCAAGTCTCATCAATTCTGCAAAATGCTTATCTGAAATATTCAGGAAAAATGATCAGAAGCCTCCTTAAATAACCTGACGTTTTAAGCTTTTGAAAAAATTCTCATTAGAGGAGACGAAAACAATATCATTTGTCATTTGTAAACAATTATGGCAGCTGAAAGAGAAGCCGTGTGTGGATTGTAATTCATTTTTGTATTTTGATCCTACTCCCCAGTTCCACTTGCCTGATCAGAGAATTTGGGTAAGTTGTTTTTTTTTGTCCTTCTCATTCCAAGCCATAACTTATAAGGATCAAAATGAAAGGTTTATTAAAATGTAGCATTACTCATGATTTCAACTCTTTTCTCCCCCTCCCAACCAACCCAAAAAATGTTTTCCATTTTATTCCCAGATTGGATTGCATTCCTATAATCACAATCAGTTACTTAAGTGATTCACGCAGTCCGTCGAGTTATAAATCATTCGGTGCATTTATCGGGACGATAGCAATGGATCTGAAAACAGCATACTTGCATTTATTTCTGTCCTTACCAGATTAGACCTGGTGTAAAGCCCAGTTTCTGATAATGGCTCAAATCATTGTTGATCATATCTCCACTTGTGCAAAAAAAGCCAAGTCTCTAAATATTTGCTTCTGTCCAGTAATGACGATGTCTGCATATTTGATTTGTGCTGGGAATAGAGCTAAACACTGGTTTGCATCAGTTCAAGGTTAACGGCCTCAATGGGAATAGGAGGGGGTGGCATTGTTTCCTTATTCAGACATCTGGCTTCAGATAAGATCAGCAATTGTGAGAATGTAAAGCACAAATTATTCAGCTGCAAAATAATCGTGTCATTCACTGGAATAAAGAGCTCCTCAAGGTCTATATACGGCAGCAACTGGTGCAAATGCTCTCCCAGGGGATTCGGGGAAAAAATGCCGAGACCTTTCCTTTTAGCTCATTGGTATAAATACAATATACGTGTTTGCGTTTACATATTTTTTTCAAAAAGCAAGATTTTCCTGTAAACATTGTTTTTTTTAAAATAATACATCTGATACTCAGTTACAAGCACTTACGATTTCCTTGGTTAATTCTGTTTGGGGATGTCTTTACAAGTTTGAAGGCTCCCAAGTTCGCCCCCCCCCAACTTCATGCCCATTACTCCGGCTTCTATTGCAAGGGCAAGCAGTGTTAGGTGCCAATTTGCTGCTGTGTCAAGCTGCTTCACGGAGGCGATTGTTAGTAGGGTCTCCTGTAACTTGGTAACCAGCCTGTACCGCAAAAGGTTCAGCTCAGTGCCTAATCCAGGCTGGTAATTCAGCTGTTCCCATTTCTCAGGACCCTGCAGCGGGACTGGCATCTGAGTCACCCTCTGCTAAAATGCAGCAATGGGATGGCAATCTCACCACAGTACCAAACTTATTAACATAGTAAATGTGGCTTCACCCTCACTCTGGTGAGCACCGGCAGGCAATTCACCAGTGAATTGGGGAGGGACTTCAGTTGAACCCAACCTTGTCCTTATCCATGGTTAGAGATAAGGAGCGGAAACCCTCGTTGAGAATTCCTTCTCCGCACACCTCTCCCCCTAGAAAGAGCTAGAGACACTGAGGTAAATTATAGAAGCCTTATTGCTGCCCTGATTGAGATCAGTTAACTCTACACCGAATAGGGATCAAACCTGGGACCTTTTCCCCATTCTTTGTGGTTCAGTCCTACACTGGCCATTACCCTCACCATCCAACTACAATGGAGCTTCTGCCAAGCTTTATAACCTGGATTTATAAGGACAATTAAGTCGATTTTTTTTATTTACTCATTTTTATTTTTCACTGATAAATACCCTTTTATTTTTGGTGAAAGTCAGTAGTTTTTTTAAAAATTAAAACTAAATTTTTTTTACACTGAATTGAATTTTTCAACCTCAAACTCTTTTTTTTCTGATGTCCGTGATTGAGCACACAAGCTGAAAGCCCCATCTCGCTGCAAGCCCTGTTCTGGGAATAAGAACACAATGCTGGAACTAATATAACCGCAGATTGCATTGTGTGCATACACACACACGTTCCTGGAATCAGCATTGCAGCAATGTGGGTGTTAAGGGAATGTTCTGAAATAAATACAAATTTTTTTTAGTTAAAATCATTCTCCTCTTTGTGACTAATAAATACACGGGGAGGGCGGAGGTGCGTGGGGGGGCAGGAATGAAAAATCCTCATGTTTTTATTTTCTGAATTATTAAAAAAAACTTAAATGGTCCTTATGGATTTGCAACTAACAGCACTTGCTATTACCACGGTATTTCTTTATAAAAAAAACTATTTCAAAGCCTTGTTTATCTTTGAAACCACAGGAACATTAGCACCCAATAGACATTTGGCTTGAGATGGAGAGCATTAAATACATGTCGCATTACCTCTGAGAAGCGTAAATGACTTTCCTCATTTCATTTGCTATTTGCTACAGTAATTAAGGTTATTTATTGTCAATATTGTGGCTGCCTGTTTACTGACAGTATTGGGTCTGGATCAGTCCCGCTGCGGGGAGCTGGATGCTTGGCTGGTTTTAAATTTATGTAACTGACCAGCAAACATGGGGATGGAGGAAGAGATCCTGCAGCAAATTATTAATGTGGGTTTAAAACAATAGGGAAGCCACGCTGTGGGTTAAATTGCCGGGTGCTATAATTGTGATTATTGAATGTAACCCAGGTCCTGCCATGATGTGATAACACCGCCTGTAAATTCACATTCGATCAACCTTCCCCTGAACCCAGGCAATCGTATTAAAGTTAAATCCCTTTCAGCAGATGGGTATTACACGTTAAAAATAGGTCGGCATAGTAACTACACGCTTTATTCGGGGGAGGGGAGAGTGGTGGGGGGGGATGGAGAGAAAGAGATCAAATCTTATTACCGGAATGATTTATTTGTAAATCATTTGCTAGAAACTGTTTCCATGTATGAATTATTAATAAAATAACTTGCTGCGTTTTCATTATCCTTTCCTTTAACTAGTCAGCACAATGACCTCTGCGCCCTTTTATCGCTGTGAGGCACCACAGGTTAAAGGCTGTCCACTGTCCAGTTATTTCTGTATTAATTGTAATCCGCTTATCCTTATGTAGTAAGGAAACATTCCTGTGCTTTTTTTTGTAAATATAGTTTTAAAGAAATGAGATCTGATGGAGCTTTAAAAATTTATAGTTTCACAGAAACTACGGCCTTTGGAGAGGGGGAAAAATTCCCTTGCAACATACAGCAGCATCATTATTACCTATGTCTGCCCTTTGATCTATGATGTCAGGATCCTTCATATTGACAAATGTGCTGTCCAGTTGCATTGTGTAGGGAATGCTTTAGCAGCGATGAATGATTATGAATCAAGTCTGCGAGCAGCCAGACTCTGGTGCTTTCACATTTGCTGCGTGACAAGTAAATGCATCTCGACTTTCCTTGGAGATTTTCGAATGTTTTGATGAAAGACATTTCGCAAATTGGCAGAGGTGCCCTGTGCAATGCAATTTGTAAGCAGCGCCCGGGAGTTTGAGTGTGAGAGGGGAGTCCACAGCGCTCCGCAACACCCCGGAATGAGAGCACTCGTCCCAACTGGAAACGACGGCTCGAGGAAAGAGTAGATACATAAAGAGAAAAACTGGATTTAAAATAAATTTTTTAAAAAAACTACTAAATCCACATTACAGATGAGAGAGAGACTCCTTGTGGTTTGAGAGGAAGAGATTAGATGAGTGAGGTCCAACTATCAAATTAATACATCTATTAAATTCCTTATTAATTGCTTCCAATAAGGTGCCTTTTTGTGTTTTAAGTGTTTCTTTTGTCTGTTTAAATATTGCAGATATCCCCCACCATCAGTTTTAGTAGCCAAAATATTTTTTTTGCATTTTTGATAAAATGTTGCATTTAACTCTCTCTCTCTCTCTCTTGCTCCGTCCACCTTACCTTGCCCCCGTCCTCCCACCCCTTCCTTCCCTCACAGATGTCAGCAATTGAGAACATGGCAGAAAAACTGGAAGGTTTCAGTTCACTGAAGCCAGAAGCCAACGATCTCCTCCAGTCTGTCCCCTCCATGTTTGACTTTAGAGCTCCCCCGTCCGTCATTCCTGACAATCTGCTGAGGAAAGGCAAGGAGCGGTACACCTGCAGGTAAGCACTGGCTCTTGCCAAGGTCACGGAATGGTGCCAAAGCGTTGCTACCTTTTACTCTGGTGCGACGCATTGTTCCTGCGTTAGTGGCAATTATTAACGAACAGAAGCTGTACTTAGCTGTCCTGCAAGAAAATGGAAAAATCGGGCAGTTTATTTTGCTCGAGTCCTAACTCCATACTCTGAGCAAATGCCAAATCTTACCAAAGATTTACACTGAAATAAAATTGCCTCCCCTCCTCTTGTGAAGAGCCGGTCACGGGGTATGATTGTTTGGGCATTGGCTGCTCTTCAGTATTTACTTATCCAAGACGGTTAGCTTCACTTGTGAGCTACGCAGTGAATGCTGGCAGGCTGTGAGGTGCTTCAGCCAAGCCCACTTGTGTCGTTGCCTAACACCCACACGCAAGAGCATTTTCCAGCAGGAGCCAGGACTTTAGGCATCAGATGTAGGAATTGTCACTGGGTAGATAGCTTTAACTCCCAGCAATGCTCAATGTTCCTGAGGGACAGTATTGGACTAATAATAATAATCATTCTTGCATTTGAAATAGCAACTTAGCATGTCTTCGAGATGTCTCAAAGCATTTCACAGAATATACTGTAAAATAAATTAACTGTATATTTTGTGGACTAACGCTGAACCCATCATAATCACTGTGAAGATTGCTGGGTCTGCCTGTCTGGCACTCTCCTGTCTCTCTGGGCACGATGGTTAGACTTCCAGGACTAGCTGTATGTGGATCTCCGATTCCACCCCTTCTTAACAGGAAGAGTTTCCTCAGCTCTCTGCCTAAATTCGGCAAACTTTTGAGAGGCTAGAGAGAAATGGCTCACAACAAAAGCAGTTGACTTATCGATTCAACTCCATCATAGAACAGGGTATATATTGGGGTATATAGAGTCAGGGGGTGAGGGAGCAAATAATCCATGTCTCTATGCTGCTTGGGCTGAGTTAGCGAGGAATGCCACAGAGGGAGGCAGGCCAGAGTTGTATAGTGGAGATGTGGGACATGAATCATTATTCTGGACGTTTCTTTCAAAAGCAAATTAAATAGATTTCTTTTAGGAAATAATATCTTGCGATACAATATATAGTTTGGGACACAACGTGCATGCGACTGCCAGGATGTTGGAAGGTGAAATGGCTAGACCTTCGTATTCTTATGTTTTTATATTGAATGCACATCGTTCCCTGTGGAGATGTAAATGGGCGGGGTGGGGACCATTAGGTACGTGGTCTGTGGAACGAGTGGACCTGAACGGGCCAGCTGGCCCTCCTCTCATTCCGTCATTTCTTAATAGAGCTGAACCACCAGTTTTCCATCAGTATTAGAATACTTGTCAAATAATTGTTCCATCAGATCTCGTGATTAGAAGATGCAATCTTTATTTCAGGATGAAATTAACAGTTCAAATTACTGTTCATAAATAAACAACAGTTTTCTTTAAAACAAAATTGTCCGCTACTCCCAGTGCTCCAAACTAGTTGGGAGGGGGGGTGACAAGGGAGTGAATGAAGAGGGGGGCGGGGTGACTGAGGGTAAGGGTGAGCGAGGGAGGCAGGGGAATGTTTGCATGTCTGTTCACAGCAACGGCCTCATCTTGTGACTCCTCCTATAACAGATACTGTGGTAAGATTTTTCCAAGATCAGCAAACCTGACGCGGCACCTTCGGACCCACACTGGAGAACAGCCATACAGGTGAGTTTATTGGGATTTACCATGCAGAGTCCCGATCTTCTAAATTCCCTCTGTGTAGATAGCGTACATATCCTCATGATTGTCTGTAAGAAGAGAGTGCAGGCAGCAGTTTTAAAGTGAACATTTACAAGTCATTTACGATTACGCAGCCTCTCATACAGAGAAGCATAGTCAGAGCAATGCCGGGAGTGCCCACCTTCTTTATACAGTTTGACAGATTATTCAACAGCCTGGCTGCCAGCATCGAGATAACTGTTCAGCAGTTTACAAGTCACGAGCGACAGTTTTTTGCTCTCTGTCGCTGTTCTTCCCCAATGTCAGATACAGTCGCACTGCTACCCAGAGTGGACCTGAGACTACAGTTACGGAGTTGAATGAGTGGAGTATGGCCTCCATCCCATATACAACTCATACAAACCACAAATGTCACACAGGCTATATACATTTTTAAGTGCTTTCCAAGATTGAAACAATTAGTAGCATATTGCATTTTTTTTTGCAATGAAAAATGGCCATGATTATATGACTGATGTATTTTTATTTTTTTTAAAAAGGAAAGTAATTGAGAGGAAGCAGGATGAAAAATAAGGGTGATAAAGATTGTCACTGGTCTGCCAGGAACAACATTCAGCATAATAATTCTATGTCTGTGTTAACGGTTCATGGAGAAAAGTAGTTAAGACCCAGGCAATTTTAAATGGCTGCAGGGTATGAAAACTGATGCCTCTGGTACCAGCTTGATAGACTAAACTGCACATACTGGCACAATGTTAAACATTTGGTCTGTTTATTGCAATCTTTCTTGAAAGATAACACGGCTTGTTCTGGGACTGGTAATCGAGCAGGCTAATCATGGAAGAAGAAAAGATGTAATCATTAGACATAATTTTGCATGAAAAATCTTGGCCTTGCCTGTCATTCCTTAGATGTTGCGCCACATGTTTGCAGAGCAAGGCAAGCACTTTGTAAATGCAATGTCGCCCAAGACATTGAAACACAGAGAGCCTGCATGAAACCCCATAGATGCTGTGGTTTGATGTGGAGCACAAAGTCTTCCTTCATATTTGTTATTTCAACTCCCTGGGCCAGAAGTGTCACTTCGCAGAATACCAATTTTTAAATTTCCACCAGTATTCCATGGAACAAACGCAGAGATCGTAGGGCCCAACCATTGTGCTGAGGTCCAGTGGTGGGGAGTGGGGCATTCAAATGTGTAAGCAATCAATCTTTATAAACAACTACAAATGACATTTGTATAGTGTCTTTCACAACAGGAAGACGTCCCAAAGCCCTGAAGGAGTCGGATTTTCACCCGAGCTGGGGGTTAGGATCAGGAGGGGTGGAGGGCTGGGAGGATGGGGGTAGGAGTGACCGAAGACGCAGTCGAAGAGGAAAGCCTTGAGACGGGTCTTGAAAGCGGCAAGGGAGGGGGTGAGAAGACACTGTGGCATGGAGTTCCAAAGGGGGCGGGCAGAAAGGCTGAAGGCCCGACTGGCGATGATGGCCATTATTTATATTAAATGAATGCATTTAAACATTACTAACCTTTGCATTTCTTATGGTTTTAAAGGTGCAAGTACTGCGACCGCTCGTTCAGCATCTCCTCCAACCTCCAGCGGCACGTCCGAAACATTCACAACAAGGAGAAGCCTTTTAAGTGTCACCTGTGTGACAGGTGCTTCGGGCAGCAGACCAACCTGGACAGGCATCTGAAAAAGCACGAGAACGGAAACATGTCCAGTAAGCAGCCAGGCTCCAGAACCAGGAGTTTGGACACAGTTTTCGCCTTGGGTTTTGGTACACTGACCTTGGGATTTGGGCCTTGAGATGTTAGCTGCAAGTGCGTAATGGACCGTATAACCTTTAGACATCTGTCATTGCTGTTTTCTGATGTCTTTTGAACTGTGGGATTTGGGATCCTTCATCACTGAAATATGGCTGCTTACCTCAAGATGGCTGCCAAGGTGGCCTAGTATTTGCCTGCAATATACCTTCTTGTGTCCCACCTACAATGCAAATACACAGTCACTGCACACAACAGTCAAATCCTGTAAAGCGCTTTGAAAATCCCCCTACTCTATATCAAATGAGGATCCCCCCCCCCCCTCAGTTTGATTAGATTTTGTTGTTCTTTAAAAGGATTTGCCCAAACATGTTTGAATGCTTAAGACAGAAATCCAGCTTTTTCCCGACGGTTCATTTGGTGAAGGCACTGATCAGAACCATATAGACCAAGTGCAATCCATGGTCCATGCTAGATTGCTACTGTTAAAATCAGTGCTTCTGGGCTAGAGGGAGGACAATTTAGTGAGGAATCCCAATCCTCATCGAAGGCCAGACCCCTGTTGGAAGATGTGTGTGTAGGACATTTGAGGATAGGATCAGATTCAGTTGTGCTGTAGTTGCCAACAGTTGAACCATTAGCACTTGGGCAAGGCATGTCGACCTCTCTGAGTCTATGCCTTCAGCAGAGGAGGAGAGAGAGAGAGAGAAAAAGAGAAATCCAATTTATTTCAAGCTGCACTCAGTATTCCTTCTGTTGCCTTGGTTTTGAAGCAAGTCTAGATGTTGTGCAGGAAACAGGAGGGCGATAACAGTTTATTTTGGCAAAACATCTCAACAGAGCATAGCTGCTGTAACTAGAGATTTACACTAACACTGGGTAACTGGACACAGGCCAGTGCAAAATATTATCTCAGTCCAGAGAAAATGGGCATTGGACAAGTAGACATCAGCTGTGCAGTCTTAATCCCTGAAGGATTTTCTGGCCAGATCTCTCCTAATAGTAGTTAATAGGGCAAAAACTTGGCAACAAAATAATATGGGCGGGTGGGCTTAGTTGCTAAGGAAGAGAAAAGTAGATTGGATTGATCAATAGCACTATTTAATAAAAAGGCTTAAAGGATTTGCTGTTTCCCTCTTTGGGGACGTTTTGAGCAGTTTTGGTTTGTCCAACACTAAAAGGTCTGTCTTGTGAACTGTCAACAGGTACTGCAAACTCCTCCCCTCATTCCGAAATCGATGGAAGCGGTGCCATCCTGGACGACAAGGAAGATTCCTACTTTACAGAAATCCGGAATTTCATTGGAAACAGTAATCGCGCTGATTGTTCCCCAGGACACTTAGAGGAAAGGTTAGCAATGTAGTATGTGGGGTGAAGTGGGTGTATAATGGGGGGGTTGTGGGGAACAAGAACATATACATTGCATTTCTACGCTAAGGGGAAGAGGACATATTTTCTTGCCGTTTAATATTTTATTGATTTCCATTCCAAACTCATCAGTTTATGTTCACACCATTCACTAGTTAAGCTAGCAGTGTTAATCATGCAAAATAGCCCAATCGTTAAGTAATTTTTTCCAGACTTTGATGAAGGTAAAGGCCCACAGTGTAGGACAGCACCAAGGCTAAACAGAGTAGGTGAGAATGGGTTGAGGACTGCATTTTATGTTATTTGGTGACGGAAACCATGGTGTTTAACAGTCACGTGCTAATTATTATTCAGAGCCAACAGCTTGCTGTCGGGAAATGAGAGTAGCATCAGAATCAAGACATCTGTGGCGGGGGATTGCAGCAGATGTATAACGGGTTACATATAAATTACACACAGCCTGTTGGCTGGTTTAGAACTAATGCTGGAGTCCAATATACAATTTTCTATGGTGTTCCTTATTTAACCAAACTGGTCGTACATCTTGCCAAACCATGTAGACTCCAGCGCAATTTACATTTTGGAGCAGGATTCCCACACGCCATGCACGACATGCTCCCGCTTACTAGAAGCCAAAAATGGCTGGATCTTGGAGCCCACTGGCCTGGAGGAGATAAGTAGGTTTGTGTTAGTGGAGACGATAGAGCAGGGAACCTAGGCGCGATAGGAGACGATAAACGCATTAAACGTCCTCCTGACGTGAAAGGCGCTACACAAATGTAATTTGTTGTTGTTAAAGGCGGGTGGAGGAATAAAAAAAACTTTAAGCAAATATTCAGTCCTGTAAGTTGGCAATTTTCCTTTGGCTTGCTTTGGGAGGGAGAGTGTGTTACAAATTCGAGGATTGGACTCTCTTGTGTAGACTTTGTGTCAGTCACTCAGAAGACATCAGTTAGTAGCAGCTGAACACTGACCGACTAGTAAACACCGAGAAGTCTCTTGAGTTGTCAGATGTGACCGGCATTGTGGCTATTGGGTTACCCCACCCTGAAAAGGGATACTCCCCTTTTAATCATTCACACCCGCAACGGATTAAGAAAACTCATATCAAAAGAATAATTTTGGCACTGTTTTAACAACAAAATCTTTGTTTTTATAATTTCTTAGCCCGGGGGGGAAACGTTACTTATAATGGAATCCTATATCCTTAACCACTCAACAGTAATGACCATTCAAATGTCATTAAGTAGATAAACTTGGGGAGGGGAGAATTACAATTTTCTGTGAAGTACTAAAAATATATATAGAGAGAGAGTTTGGTCCAAGTGGTAATGCAATATTCTACCCCCAATCCACAAGATTGTGAATTTATTTGGGGAAGGTGTCCAATTTCAGTGGGTCTCCAGGGCAAGGAGAGCTGTAGAATTCAATCAGACACAACGGACTACTGTAGCTCAAGTTTTGAGTTCACAGCCTGGGCTGACGCTCCACTACATTACTGGGAACAGACATGCTGCATTGATGGAAGAGAGTTTTTTTGGGAAATGCAATTGTTAAACCAAGACCTGTCCTTCGGTATATGCTAAAGACTCTATTTGAAAAGAGAAGGTAGATTCTCCCAGTGTCCTGCCCAATAGTCCTCCAGATAAATTGGTCTCATGCTTGTTTTCAGGACCTTGCTATGTGCAAATGACTGTTGAGCTTGGCTGCGAAAACAGTCACCCCAACTTTGACAGTAATTACATGCAAAGTGATTTGAGACATTTTGCTGTTTTAAAATTGAAAGTTCTTTCTTACACAAGCACTAATTGAAATGCATTTAGTCAAAACTATCTTGGACAAAGTAGGGGAGGGTAAGAGGAAGAAGAGGGTCACATACACTTTTGTGAAGTGAAGAATTGCGCATCAACAAAGCAGATATTAGTTACCTTGAATACGTTCACCGTAAAACTGTACAGTGCAAATTCATTTGATGGTTTGTAAGGTAGGCACAATCTGTCAACTTGGAGATGTCATGTGAAGTGTCTTGACCTCAATGTTTACTAGACACCTGGACATGACATCTGGAAATCCCAAATGAAAAGACCTAAGGAATAGGTGAGATGCTGCTTTATGTTTTTAGGGGCTTCATAAACCTCAGAGCTGAAACCTGGATGATAGCAAATGTTCCCCAATAATCAAACAGTGAAGTTTAATATAAACCTGAGAATTGTAGCCTAGTTGGTCTAAAACTGGCAATGGGTGGAAAATTGTTTAGAAGTGGACAACTTGCAGTGAGTAGGGGTTAATGTAGATAAGGATTCCGAGTGGCGACTCCTGGGAACTAGAGGTGCATCAAGGGACTCGCTCCAAAAACATTAGTTCAGACTAGAATCCCCACACGTTCTTTTTTCTGTTAGCTTCCTAACAAGGAATTATGTTAAACTTAAAGCCCGGTTCCATTAACCTCTGGAGCTGCGATGAAATCTAGATTAGACAGACATTTTTAAAAAATATTTTTTTTTTACTCCCCAGTTAACATTGCAAAACGTTTAGAAATCTCACAGATTATGCAGATTAAAATCTTCCCAGTTCATTTCTTTCCCTTCTTTCTTTCCCCCATAAAGGGTAGCAAGAATTATAGAAATATCAAAGGTGAAATATGCAAGATTAAATTGAAGTTACGTGCGTGTTGGAGACTTTGACTTTTGGTGATTGGGGCTTTTTTTTGCCAACATCTGGCCTCAATATGTAAGAGTCCAGGAAGTTGGTAAAGAGGGACGAGGTTAGAGGTCACCCAGGGTTTCCTTTCTGATTCCTGAACTTTCAGCTGCTTATGATGGATATTTTATCCTCTGCAGATTACTGCATTTGGAAGTGTAATTAGTGAATCTGTTTCTTAATCATCTTATTTGTTTGATACAAGGCCTGGTCTATGTGGTGGTGACTGAGCTATGAACTGGAGTTTGGAGTCTTACGCCCTCTTCTCTGTGTTCTGTCTCGATGCCATGAATGTCCCGCATCAATCAAGGAATGACTCTAATTCAGCGTCTTGGTCTTTTGCAAATGGCCTGTTGCAATTAAGTTGCAAAGATTTATTTTCTTAAAACCCTAGAAATTTATAACACAGAAGGAGTCCATTCACTCCATAGTGTCTGTGCTGGCTTTTTCAAAGTAATCCTTTCAACAACAATTTTGCATTCTTCACGTGGGTAGTGTCTCGGAGCTCTTTACAGTGGCGTGGTTTGATGCCAAAGTGGAAAGAGAAAGGCATGGTTGAAGGGAAAAGTCCTCAGTGTGATTTGAAAACTGGCAACAGAAGAGGCGAAACAGAGGGATGGAGGCAGGGAACTCCAGAGATTTGGAACGTAGTGGCTGAAAGTATAGCCACCATTCGTGGAATAGAGGGGATGAGGGTCATACAGAAGAACCAGCCAGCTGAATGAAGGCGGTGGATGGAGTGGGATGTGTGCAGATAAGTAGGGAGGTGTCGGGACTTGAAGTGATTTGAAAATGAAGCTCCTGAAATTGATCTGTTCTGTAACAGGGAGCCAGTGGAGTCTGCCAGGAACTGGGGTGATAGAGGTGCAGAACCTGGTATGGATTAGGACATAGGTGGCAAAGCTGGGACTTTCAGTCCCATTTACCTGTTCTTTCTCCATAATCCTGTCCCAACTTTCAGTGAACTCAGCAAGGTGTGAGAAATGGAATTCTCTCATTTCAGACAGCTAATATCCTCCCTCCAAAACCAAAAACAATAATAAATTGGTCATTTTCAATCTACGACTGTTTGTGGGACATTGCTGTGCGCAATTGGCTGCCGCGTTCGCCCACAAATATACAGTCAATTCACTTTACAGTGTGTTCTGTGAAGCGCTTTGGGACGTCCTCCTGACGTGAAAAGCGTTTTATCAAATGCAAGGATTATTATTATTACTGTACATCTAACTCATTATAGATAATGGCTGTATCTTGGGTCTAGCATAATGAGTTAGATGTACAGTACAGCTTTCTTTACTCTGCCCTGACAAGGTAACCCAACCCTACATTGGACTATTGCCTCTACTGCACCATTGTAATACTGCATTTCCCACACCAGCCACCTGTGGACTCTCTGAATTAGTGTATTGATTTAGTCTAGAATTAGAGACATTAGTTTTGCATGAACCCAGACCTGCTTAGGAGCTGGGTTGTGACTCCCCCAAACTGGTTTTAGCCAGGGCCCCAACAAATGGAAAGAGGAAACTGGTTTTAACCCCAAGTCCAAGGTGCAAATGGACCATGTGTACCCAAGGCTTCGCCATTGAGCATGCAGCTACCCACCAGAACAGGGCAATCTGCTTCCAATAATACATGACTACAGTGACACACGACTACACATATTCAAGCCTATTGTGACATGGTTCTTCCTCCAGTTGTGGTCCTTTATGGAACAGGAGGCCTGAATTACACTTTCTGTTCCCCATCGAGGCCATCAAACAACGGACTGAGTTTCAGAGTTCTGCACATTCACCGCTTTCTCAAGCTCTGAAGTCAACATTTGTTACTGAGTGTTATTCAAAACATGACCGACTCTGTAAAACAAAAAATCCCCTGAAAGTACTTGGGGTCAAACACTGAAGTGCCAGAGAGCTTTCAATGAGAGCAGAAACCAATTGGATTCTCATCCAATGTGTCTATACTATAGTGAGATGACTCTCGCTCTTGAGATCACCACTCTCGCTTCTTCAGGCGGAGCTCCAGTGCTTGTCTGGCTTGACTGCAGCCCCCTGCCCCGAATTCACACTGCACTCCAAAATCATGCTGAACTGTGTGCGGGGTCCACGTCACGTCTGCAGAGGAAGTAGGTTCTGCAGGCGAGAACAGAAGAGCGCAGGCACGATAACAATCAGAATGTATCATTTATTTATTCAAGAATATTTAAACTGTGAGTTTTCCTGAGTTCAGTTTTAAAACAAAGCATGTTTCACTGATGCCTCTTGGCATGAAGAGGTAACGTTGGAAACAATAATTGTGTGCAGAACAATTCTAACCTGTACCTAAAGATAGCAATCGCACTGAGCCCTGCTTTATATCACAAAGAGGCAATCATTAGGTTAAGTCCCTGGCCCCAGTGCTCGCTTTGGCCAAATCTGATCACATATCTGCCCATTTCTCCTGCTTTCCTTCAACATTGCCTTCATTGCTAAATAAATCATTTTTAAAAAATATTGCTAACAGATTATTTCCTGCCTTTTGTACAGAGTCTAATCTCTGAGCCAATTATGATAATTGGTTCTGTGGCTGGTCTATGGGGGAAGGAGAGGGGTGGTACATAGAGGCAGGCATGAGGGGAGGGGGGTGGGTGAATGAGAGCATGTGTGTGTGTAGTTTGTTGCTGGCTATTGTGACACTGTCAGCAGAAAGGTCCTGTGCTACACTGCCTGACTCGATCTGCCCCGCGATCCCAAGACATTTTACCAAATCGCGCTTTTCCTGTAAGTGCGACCCATCTAAGGGCTGATGACATCACTACGTGCGTGGTCTGCTGGCACTGTGCCCCTTAGCTGGTTGGCTCGGATCTTTCCGAAAAGTCTATTTATATCCCAGAAGTCATGGGCAGTGGAATTTTCCCACTGATCTTTAACAGCCCTTTCTCCTCCCCCCAAAAAAAATTCTCACCCAACCTGTGTTATACTGGGACAGTGAACTCAAAGGTGTTGTATAAAAGCAGTGAAAACTGTGGGTTCAGAACCCAGATCACTGCCACACAGTGATGTGTAAATAAGGGCCCCAAACTGCGTCTGTGCGTCTCTGTGTCTACGAGTGTATATGTCTATCTGTCTTTGTGCCCCTGTATGAATGTGTGTTCTTCTGTATGTGTGAGTGTGTGTAAACATGCAAATGTCTGTACATACTTGCTGTTAAAGCCCAGCACCTGGTAACAGTTAGTGTAATGTTAATGAATTGGAAGGGCCCTGAGCTGGAACGTGAACCTCCCAGTACATTGGAGCCTTTGTATTCCTCTCAAGTGAGATGCATTCTAACGAGTTCTTGTGTAAAGTCCAAAGGGATGGCTGTAACCTTGTAAGGGCTGTTTGTATCTAATCACGTCAAAGCTGGTCACACAGAAACAGACCGGAGCAGGAAGAATGCCCAACAAAGTGGGAGGGAAAGAGATGTCTTGGTGCCGTGATTAATGTTCCCGAAATTTAACTGCTCAGGATGCCACTTCGACTACTTGTAGAGACAGTGCAGACACCAACATATGCCATGCTACCCATCAGTATATTTAAGGAACCCATCCACATAAAGGCAGTCCTGCAGGACAGATAGTCTAAGACTGAGTAGGCTATGAGGGCACTGGAACATAGGAGATTGATTCCAACCTTCTTTTCCAAGCCATCTTAACTTGGAGCCAACTTAACCCCAAAAGAATCTGTTACCTTCCTTCCCATCCAGCAAGATAGGTTTAGGGACATTTAGATGAGGTAAAATCAGTTTCCTCAAGACCATGTCTTAAAGACATAAGACGATTCACACACTTCAATTTGCAGAATTGTAACTAATATAAAGTCAATGATTTAATTTGGTTTTAAAAGTATCCGCTGGTCTTCAGGCTTTAATATTTCTAAAGAGCAGATGGAGTTGGAGGGTTGGGGAGTACAGTGCGATTGTGTGTATCCTGGCAATGGATCCAATTGCCTCTCACTCAACTCATTTGCTGCTACACTCACTTTACTTCACATCCCATTACACATCTCTCCAATCACAACATCCCATTAGCCAAAACTGGATTGGGGGTGGAATCTGAGACCCCTCTAGTCCTAGCCACTCACACCCCAATGCTCATTCTTACTCTTTATGTTTCTCGTCCCTCCTGAAGGATCAATGGAGGTCATTGCCAGGAGGAGAAAGTCCCTGTGACCAGCCAGAAGACTGACGAGCTTGAGGATGAGGAGGTAGTGGAAGATGTGGAGGAAGAGGATGAAGAGGAAGTTGGATCTAGCCTGGCAGGAAAACCCCTGAATGAACCGATTGTATGTAAACTGGACACAGATGACCAAGACAGAATTCAATATGATGAGCTGAGGGAAATGGAGGGAAATGGAAAGGAATCCCCCAGCAGGTGTGTATTTGCTGGGAGTGCCGTGCCTTTTTGTATAGTCTGCCTGACCCTTGAACTTGTCCAACCAGTCGAGAGCTTTGGCTTACAATGGCCTTTTTGGGTGAGGGGGCTGTGAGAGAAGGAAAGGAGATTGAGTGCATTGAACAGCTATATAAAGGCTTCTGAGTGAGACCTTCTCCTCCCCTTTGATTCATCAGAGGAATGAGGAACACAGCACCTCTGTACGGGTTATTAAAGAGAAGGATGAGGGCTGTGGAGATGTTCATATTCGAGAGAGCTTCATTGTCAATGCACATGATGGCTGTGTTGTTGGGAGCAGTATCAGTGTTGAAGGTGGAGATTGGAGAGAATCTGAAACTTGACTTCATGGCCTTTGGAGGTTTAACAAGAGAGTCCAGAGAGCTTTCCACTAGGAGGTGAAACAAGTGAAGGCTAACTGTGCATGGACTGTGGAAGCATTGGGCTTGATGGGCTGAATGGGCTTTGCTCATCCACCCTTTTCTCCCTCTATTGTACGATGCTTACATTCATACTTTCACTTTTAGTTACAAAGAAGATGATGACATGAGACTTGAAGCAAAGGGTGGCCTTTCCGCCCTGGAACACATCAGGCACTTCACGGACAGCCTCAGCGCGAGGCAGCCGGAGGCAAGTCAATTCAGCGAGGCCAATCTGACCACATACAGCACTACACACCTGCCGGAAGACCTAAAGCAGCCTTTATATAGGAAATCCAAGTCACAGGTCAGCCTCGGAGCTAGTAACAATCACTGTGTTGCTTTTAACGGAACACTATCCTTTTATGTTTGATGGAGATCTTTGGGGTTGCCCCTGATCATGTCCTGATGCAATGACCCAGTTGTGAAGTGTCCTCTGTGACCTAAGGTGTAAACTATACCATGCTCTTCAAGCATGGGTGGAAGAGTCATCACATTTGTATTACAAAGAATGAGTCGGAGGCCAAGGGGAGAGGCAGTTGGAAGGGTGATTGAAGGCAAAGTTAAAGAAGTGGGTCTTTGAAAGCAGAGAGGGAAAAGCTGGAGGAAATTCAGAAGAGAGTTCCAGAAGATGGAGGGGGAGGGCAGAGTGGCTGAATGCTCACCCACCAATCGTGCGGTTGACAGGCTGACCAAGGGCACACCTAAAGGGGAGATGAAGTTGTAATGAGCACATCTGCCTTAAACAAACAGTCAAGTTCCTAACTTTATTATTTGTGTGTGCTTTTTCTTCCCCCTTTACTAGGCATATGCCATGATGCTATCTCTGTCTGATAAGGAGCCAATCCACTCTGCATCCAGCGAGGGATCAAATGTGTGGCACAGCATGGCCAGAGCTGGGGCAGAGCCCAGCACCATCCAGTCCATCAGCCATGTATGACCTCTTTGCAATAACCGGATGGGACCAAGTCCAGCTTTGTACATAGCATAACTTTTTTTTTCTCCCCCACCCCCTTTCCCCCTCCCCTCTATCCTTTTCCCTTTGTGTCTATTTATAGAGAGAGACTCTCAAGCAGAAAGCCTTAGAAATCTGCTGTGTCACCCCAATCTCGTGACCTTAAACTGCTAGTTTTTTTTAAAAAAAGGAATTGTATTTATTCTCCTGGTGTTTGTTTTGCACAGTGAAGGCAGCTGCATTTTTATGAGGAACGATGCGACACTTAGTAGTTTCGACTAGGAACACAACTGGGAGCTTTTACCTCAGCAGTCTGGAGAGTGTCTTCCATTGTATTCACTAGGGGAGGGTTTGACCATTTTCCATGTATCCTAGCACTCAATTTATCAAAATGAAATCATTTGTATAAAATTCAATTGAATTGCGCGCGGGGCAGGGGTGGGAGGGAGGGAGAGATTCGGTGGCTCCTTGTGTACAAATTCCAATTTGGGTTGCTTTCTCGGTTGCTTTCAGCACCAATTAAGTCTCTTTTCCATATGTGTGTGTGTGTGTGTGTGGGTGTGAAGCTGAAAATCAACTTTATTACACAGAATCCAGTGACAGGTTTCTCACTGAAAGGTGCCACTCTTTCTCTCCTCTTCTTACACACATGCCCAATCCCGTCATGCAAAAAATTAAACTTCAAAATACACTTTTTAATTTTAGACAATCATTTTGGTAAACCATGTAAGGGGGAGGGGTTTCAAATATTTTTTAACAAAAAAAGTTGTTGCAGCCACTTGCTATTTATTTGATGGTGTTATATACTAGCACTTCCCAGCGCGCGTACACACACACACATACAACCAGGTGCTTTATATGATCGGATCCCCAGTGTATAAAAGCGGGAGTTTGAGGGAGGGGAAAGAGTGGGTATGGGGAATAAATTGATCTACGCGAGTGCCAAATAGTGTTGAAAATTGAAAAAAATTAAAATAATTCAATCTTATGCATTTTAATGAATCTGCCTAATGACTAGATATTAGTTTTTTTTGTTAATATGATAAGCTGACTCGATTGTGTAAACAGTTATGATTCAATCATTGTAGCATGATTCCTCTGATTAGACCTGTACCTGATACTTTAAGCCGTTTGTCTGCTTGTGTGGTGTTTTATTCAGTGGCAACAGTTAAGGTTTAAAAAAAAATGTGCCAAACTTATGTTTTTTTTAAAAAAAAGGAACAGATTGTCTTTGTTTAATTTAGCCCAACATGGCTGAGCAAATTTGTCTTTTTTTTGTTTTTGTTTCATTTTGTTTATATCTCATTTCAAATAGCTGGCAAGTTGAGGTACTTTCTCTAAATGCTTTGTACAATGTATCTGTTATGCATTTAAATAAAAAAATATAATGAGAGGAACAGCTAATAAAAAAAATAAAAGCTAAGGCCAGCAGTGCTGTTCAGTCCTGGTGTCTGTCTGGCAGATGACTATTTCCATAATAAGTGTGGTCATTGCTGTGGCAATGCAATAGTACATAGCTGTCTCAGCAGTGAAAGAGGAGAATGTTCTCCAAATTCCTCCCTACCTCTCTGACCTGCTTACTCCCCAATCCACTACCTGCCGCCTCTGCTCGACTAGCTCCGGCTTCCTGCTTGTCCCTCATGCCCTCCGTTCCACCATCGATGCCTGTGCTTGCAGCCACTACATCCTCAAACTCTAGAACACTCTTCCTCTATTCCTCTGCTGAGCCCCTTCCTTCCCCATTTTGAAGTTGCGCCTAAAGTCCTTTCTCTTTAACTGTGCCTACAATCACTTCCCCCGGTTTGGAATCGTGCTCCGCAAGCGTTAAGCACTTAGAGACAGTACTGTGCGTGAGGGGAATGCTATATAAATGCATGTTGTTATTGTTTATCACTGAAATTCTGCTCCCTCTTAACATCTTCAGTTTTACCAAACCTTTGACAAGCATTCCACTTGTCAAAGCTTCCAAAAAGCTTGTTGTTCTCCCGAATACTTCTTCCCTTATAGCAGCTATAGAAATGCAAGACTTGAACACTGCTCCCACAGCTAGAGAGGTTCCTCTGACACCTTGTGCTCCTGGAAAGGACAGGAGGTTCGTCATCTGATAGTTGCTCCTATTGCTGTTGGGAGTTTTTCTCCCTTGTGATAGTAGAAGCTGATTTACACCTGCACATCGTATGGCCTTCCTCCCCAGTGCTGTTGGGCTGACTGAATCAGTGAGTGTGCAACTAGCATAATATTAAAGAACAAACCATCAGGGTCGTATGTCTGCAGAGAGACAAAGCAAGATGAAGTGTGTATTTGTGTGTAATGTAGTGTAGTTGTGAAGTATAAATCAAGACTGGCTTCTCTGCATCATTAGACTGGAATCAACGTGGCTTTAATCCTGGCCATGTATTCTCTCCCAGCACCTCAACCTCCTGGAACTCTTGATCTCCCTCACCCTTCCTATCATCTAAACATTTAAAAACAGATTCATGCAAAACAGTGAATATAAGGTTCAATGGCTATTGAGATTCATTGTATATATTCACATCATGAAAACAAGATGAATACATTCACACAACCGTATACATTCAAAAATGTATAAACACATAATTCCTTATACAATCACACAACACAAGCACATGTATACATTCACATTTGTGCAAACCTACAGTTATTCACACATTATATACATTCACACCTGTGGATATATATTTACACAAATATACACTTTCACAGCAACACATACACATTCACTCAATTTCACACATGCACGTATATATTCAAACACGTATATATTCACACAAGCTTTGTATATACCCACACAAACAATATACATTCACACATGCACGTATACACCCAAAACATTGTTTTCATTCACACAATCACATTGACACAAACATGGATAGTTCACATAAACATACAATGACACAAATATATTCATACAAGCAAATATTTGTAAATATTCACACAAACAAATATGGTTACACAATGCGTTTGTTTGTGTGAATATAGGTACATATACATTCACACATGTATACATTCACACAAACATATACCTTCACAGAAATACATAGACGTTCGCACATCAACAGAAATATGCTGTGTACATTCACAGCAACGACATTGTATACATTCACACAAAAATACATTCAAAAGCACGATCACCACAAATAAATATATTTATACAATACATTCACATAGCACAAGCAGATTGCATAATTCATGCAAACACATATTCACAAGCAAATTTACATAAACCACATATTGTATACATACATTTACACACTATAAATACACATTCACACAGCACTTATATTCCACACACATAAAACATGCATTCAAACAAACATATACAAACGCATAAATGAATATTCACATGTTTGTATTCACATAAACATACATCAACAAGACATATACATTCACATAAACGTATACCACAAACACATTGTTCACACTAACATGTTGTATAGATTCTACCTATGTCCCCTCTAAAGTGTCCCTTTTCAAGGTTGAATCCAGTACTTTGCAGACAAAATGATTTGGGATTGCTGCCCATCAGTACTGGATTCCCAGCTCAGGTGATTCCATATTATCACATCTGGGAAGTACTCTCTTCCCAGTTTTTATCTGAGCTCAATTCAGTCCCTCATCATTTCTAGTCCTCCTTATTGCCCTTCTCTGAACTCTGCCCGATACATCAATGTTGCCAATAAGGGAGGTTGAGGCCAGGGCAGTAGCATCATTTTTAAAAAAAACTGGGATGGGAGGACCTTAGAGTCTGTGTCATGGAAAGATGAAATCAGATTGGCCGAAGGGCCTTCTTCGTCCAAATATCTCTTGTGAATTTATTAATGTCTTTGTGAAGGTACAGTGGGCAAAATGTATTGCAAATGGGACCTGAGCCGTGAGTTGAATGGATTAAAATGACCTCTTTCAATTGACAATGAGAGGTCCCGAGGCTGCATCCCAGGACGTCTCTATCCTTATGCACAACAGCCTCACATCGATTTGATATGTTCTGCAAATATGCTTTAATCGCGAAAAGCGATTTAATTTTCCCACCTTTTCAAAGGAACATGTATCTAATGTGCACACGTGTTTCACGTTTCCTGTTCCAATGTGCATTGCAGAAACCTTTCCATATTAAATTCCAGCTGCCATTCCCTGACCGAGTTCCCTTTGTTTGTCCAGATCCCTGCTGAACGCTCCCAGGTTGCCCCGGCTGGTCACTTAGCCACATAGTTTAGTGTCATCGCCAAGTTTAATGCTATGTATTAGCGCTGCTCTCCGCTGTATCTTTTATAAATAGTGTAAACAAGAGAGGTCCCAGAACACACCCCGGGGAACAACTAAGCACGTCCCTCCCAGACTGGGCCCCCACATTTATCAGCACCTTCTGCTTTCCATTACCAAACCAATTTTCAATCCAGCTAGCTAATTTGCCATTAATTCCTCACTCGTAGATCTTTTCTAAAAGCCTCAGATGTGAAGCTTATCAAATACTTATCAAATCCACTGGATATCCCTTGTCGGTTAATTTTGTTACCTCCTCAAAGAATTCCAGTAGATTTGTGAGGCAGAACTATTGCTTCTAAAAGCATGCTGAACTGCCTCTTAGGCCTCTGTGCTCCTTAGATCAACATTGATAGCATCCTGCAAGTGCTGTCGAGAAGTTTTTTTTCCCCCACTACTAATGTGAAGCTAAATGATCCACAACCCTCCTCCTCCCGAACCTCCTTCCCTTCTCCTTTTGAACATTGGAATGAGAAATCTGCAGTTAGATTCAATTTAATCATCCTCAGGAGAATTTTTATAATAATAAATAATCGTACTGGCATTTGATTTATCCTATCGAAACGGCTCAAAAGCATTTTAACACAACAAGTTACTTTGATGTATAGTGATGGCCGTGTAACAGGGCAGCTAATTTGCACCAAAAAGGTCACAGAAACAACAATAATATGAATCTCCAATTAACGTATGCTGTGGGGAACTTGGATAAGGCAGGAATATTGGCCAGAACACTGGGAAAATATCCTTGTTTCTAAGTGCAGCTATGGGGTCTTTAACGTCCATCCCAACTGACAACAGGTCATGGAAAATGAAATGTTTCCTCATTCTGAGCACCCAATGCCAACAATCCTTCAGATAAAATTGGTCATTAATTGCTGTAAGTAAACTAGCTGCCACGTTCAGCTACCAAATATGCAGTCACTACATTGTACAGTAAAATCTTGTGAAGCGCTTTGAGACATGAAAGATGCTGTGCCAAATGCAAGGATGATTATTATTAGCTTCAAGGACTCTCATATCAGCCAGAGATAATTTAGATTCAGGCTAAAGCACCCTCTATTCTGACCCAACAATGTTCTTCAGGTCACACCTAGGAAAGTGCCAGATTGACATTTCCCACACCAAGGCCGACAATTTCCCACATCGAATAACCTAAATCTAGAACAATTTTGTGCTGTGACATTAAACCCACAAAGTACTGAATTGACACTGTCCAAAATTAAAGCTGAGAATCTTTAGTGCCAACAGACAGAAGAGACTTTGCCGATTCAGTCCGGGCTGCTTTCAAACGCAGGTCCCCGAGTGCAAACCTACTGTATCGCTGTGGTCCCTGAGAATGTACTTTAATGTTTTCTCAACACTGAGCGTAGAGGCTCCAGGTAAGTGAGCCAGGAGGGCTCCCTCCCTGCAGTATTAATGCAGTGCTTGTCCTGTGTTTGTAACTGACCCATGCTATCTCCTTTTTTTTATTGGGGTCGAAAAACAAGATTTGCAAAAAGCGAATCCAAAACGTCCTAGGATACGCGTCACATGGATGTGTTGGAACCTGACTCAGACACTGAATAATGTTGGATTGTGGGCGAAGGAAACTCCCAATTCCTGGCAGAGAGATTGGGATCTGAGTGCAGTTTCCTTGGGAGGAAGAGTTCAGTTAGAGACACATTCGGGAATCTGCAGGATCCACTATTATCATTTCTGTTACCCTGTTATTTCAATCCATAAAGAAAAAGAAAAAAGAGGCTCTCAATGCTCTAGAAACTCCCCATGCTTGGCAGAGACGTGCTCTCCTATGGGGTGGGGGAGGGAGGGAAGGAGGGGAAAGATGTTGATTGACAAGAAGCTCCAAATAATTTTCAAAGAAGCCTCTGTGATATTTAACACCCGCACTCGGGTATAGAACTTACAGAAGATTTTTATCTGAGTGATATTTTAGTAGTATATCTTTATCAGAAATGCAGTATCTCACTGCCATCATAGTCCAAACCCTCATCTCTCCCTTTGTAGAATTATCATTCACGGGCAGATAGACAACTAGGAATTCACTCTGGGCATTGGTATAGATGGGGTTAATATGCGGAAAAGCCTGCCAGACTGTAAGTACAACAGTTAGTGACTGAGAGCTAAACAAGTCCAGA